AGCAGCGGCAGACAATTCCAGGAAAGTGAGACGCGTTTCGCACTGCTCCAAGTGAAAATGATAAAATTAAATTTCTTGCAAGTACTCTGGTCAAGAAGAAGGATGAAAACAGTGTGTGGAACCTGGATAAATGGACCCAAAGCAATGATATCCTTTCAGCAAATAAAATAATGTTTTTTAGAAGACAATACATCTTCCGTTTACAACTAATGCTCTGTTCAGCTTATCCAAACTTTCTACAGGGAATAGTTCTTCACCAATGAAATCCTGGCTGTCAATAAATAGTTGATATATTTATATACAATATCTCTGTAAGTCCAAGAATCCTTTAGGCCTTGTATTCATCCATTATCCTTAGAACCTCATCCAGAATGGAAGGTCCAAGATCTAGCTCAAGTCGAAAAGGAGACTCGGATTTAGGAAGACTTTGTTCTTTGGAGTGTTCACTACATCTGTCGTCCTGTATGTGGTCTAAATTCTTTCCTGGACTTTGAGCACCACTTCCACTGATAGATCCTTCGGACGAGCTCATGGAAGCTTCCAGAAATCGACTTTGTCCGTCTTGGGAGATTGATGAAAATGACATATCGTCTTCTCTTCGGAAAGATCCGTTCCCATAGCTAACGGACATTGAACGTTGGCTTGGGGCGTCTTCCAAGTGCAAACGAGGAGGTTTTGGAGGAGCCTTTTCTTGACTCTGGGTTCCAGTGAAGGCTGGCAGTGACACTGCATTTTTTAAAAAGGGGCGATAACTCCCAGAGCTGGAATGAGTGTGTAACTCTTCGTTTGAGCCAGCTTCCGTGCCCTTCATTGTCAATTTGTGGCTCAAGTTTGGGAGCAGGTCATACTTTCCTTGCAAGAAAGACAACTCTCCAAACATATCCCCTTCTCCATGGACTCCAATGTGAGCACTGTGCCTGAAATCACCCAGAGGAGGACTAATCATTTCCCTCGATAGCATGTCTCTAAGTTTGGGCTTTTTCCCCCTCTTGGGAGTTGAGGTCTTCAAATAGATGGGAGTTTTGGCCGGCATCTCACCCTCCCTTACTCAATGAAAACTCTAGAAGTCAGAATGAATTAGACTTTGTATTGAGAGCCTCAGTCACAAGAATTTAAAACAAGATAAATTCCATGCGAACTCCGAATACACACGACTGTTTCATTGACGATGGTCTTTGGTGGAACCTGAAAAAAAACAAAAATTACCAATTATTTCAGAAGCTGAATACTTAAAGGTCACAAAACAGTAGCAATTTGAGAACAACGTATATACTGGAATAGAAAAAAACAACAACTCCATTTCTAAAAGCAGAAATAGAAAAACACATCCCGTAGCACTTAAAATGAATAGATCAGCGACCAGGATCAAAGGTTTGACATCTCGATGAAAACCCCCCGTAACTGCGACTGGTTTAAATAGATTTCCGGGGGAAGCGCGGAAAGGAGGGATGTTTCCTTCCCGTAAAACAAACAGGATGGATCCTCCTCAGTAATAGATTGTATCACCAATAATGCCGGGAAAATCTCTGTATCCCACTGGGCAAAACTTTCACTATTACAGTCATTATTCCCCAGGGGAACCACCATCATCACTGCAATATAGTGCACTTAACGAGCCAAAGGTAGAAAATAATAGGTGATCTGGACTACTATAAGAGTAAATCAAACCCTGTATTGTACAGTGTGGGGGAGATCAGACTCTGTATTGTACAGTGTGGGGGAGATCAGAACCTGTATTGCACAGTATGGGGGAGATCAAACCCTGTATTGTACAGTATGGGAGAGATCATACCCTGTATTGTACAGTGTGGGGGAGATCAAACCCTGTATTGCACAGTATGGGGGAGATCAGACTCTGTATTGTACAGTGTGGGGAGATCAAACCCTGTATTGCACAGTATGGGGGAGATCAGAATCTGTATTGCACAGTATGGGGGAGATCAGACTCTGTATTGTACAGTGTGGGGAGATCAAACCCTGTATTGCACAGTATGGGGGAGATCAGACTCTGTATTGTACAGTATGGGGGAGATCAGACTCTGTATTGCACAGTGTGGGGGAGATCAAACCCTGTATTGTACAGTATGGGGAGATCAGATTCTGTATTGTACAGTATAGGGAGATCAGACTCTGTATTGTACAGTGTGGGGAGATCAGACCCTGTACTGCACAGTGTGGGGAGATCAGACTCTGTATTGTACAGTGTGGGGAGATCAAACCCTGTATTGTACAGTATGGGGGAGATCATACCCTGTATTGTACAGTATGGGGGAGATCAGACTCTGTATTGTACAGTGTGGAGAGATCAAACCCTGTATTGTACAGTATAAGGGAGATCAGACTCTGTATTGTACAGTATGGGGAGATCAGACCCTGTATTGTACAGTGTGGGGGAGATCAGACTCTGTATTGTACAGTGTGGGGGAGATCAGACCCTGTATTGTACAGTCTGGGGAGATCAAACCCTGTATTGCACAGTATGGGGGAGATCAGACTCTGTATTGTACAGTATGGGGGAGATCAAACCCTGTATTGTACAGTGTGGGGAGATCAGACCCTGTATTGCACAGTATGGGGGAGATCAGACCCTGTATTGTACAGTGTGGGGGGGATCAGACTCTGTATTGTACAGTATGGGGGAGGTCAGACCCTGTATTGTACAGTCTGGGGAGATCGAACCCTCTATTGCACAGTATGGGGAGATCAGACCCTGTATTGTACAGTGTGGGGAGATCAAACCCTGTATTGTACAGTATGGGGGAGATCATACCCTGTATTGTACAGTATGGGGGAGATCAGACTCTGTATTGTACAGTGTGGAGAGATCAAACCCTGTATTGTACAGTATAAGGGAGATCAGACTCTGTATTGTACAGTATGGGGAGATCAGACCCTGTATTGTACAGTGTGGGGGAGATCAGACTCTGTATTGTACAGTGTGGGGGAGATCAGACCCTGTATTGTACAGTCTGGGGAGATCAAACCCTGTATTGCACAGTATGGGGGAGATCAGACTCTGTATTGTACAGTATGGGGGAGATCAAACCCTGTATTGTACAGTGTGGGGAGATCAGACCCTGTATTGCACAGTATGGGGGAGATCAGACTCTGTATTGTACAGTGTGGGGAGATCAAACCCTGTATTGCACAGTATGGGGGAGATCAGACTCTGTATTGTACAGTTGATAACATATGGCTGTGTGAGTTGTTTCCTTGCGTGTTATATAGGATCAGGAAGGGGCAGTACAGGGATAAATCCCATCCTGTCTCAGACAGTTTCCCAGCTCAATGCAGCCCTCCCGGGGAGCTAAGTATATCCAGAATAATCTAATAATCCATGCGCTTTGCATGTCAGCAGTATACAGAACACAGACCAGTGCGGATCGGGAAACCTTCACATGGCTGGGCAGCCTGGGGCAGGCAAAGCATCATGGGATATGTAGTCCACAACAAAACAGTGCAAAAGCAAACGTAGGTCAATGGTCAGCTCCTCTACACAGGGTAAACCGATTAGACAGCCCTGCTGAAAATAACGTTCGTTATTCAACGTCAAAACTGAGACTAAAAATGCTGATAGCACAGTTCTGCTCACAGCTCGGCTATTTTAGCCTGAATTTTATAATCCAGATTTAAATTCACCGAGCAGGCCCGCTCTATAACACGTAAAAATAGCAGCCTTTATCCCAACATAATTCACTTTAATTTGCTTTATACATAATAACAATTACAAATCTAAGCTAAAAAATACATTGATAACATTTTCATAGTGTTGGGTTTTATTTATTTTAAGATGACTGAGTAACATTTTTATAAATAAAAAATAATTTTAGTAACAGATTTACAAGTTTTGTAAATGACCATTGATAACTTTTGCCATTAGTTACGCACCGAGGATTAATGCCAAATTATGTCCAGTTTGGTGATAAATGGCGGCTATAACTCGAATGATCAGATTATCACTGCGGCTCTGACCCCCTGCTATTAAATATCCCACAAACTGTGCCCATTAGAAGTGGGTCTCCCTGTCTTAATAATAATGGTTTATCCCTCGGCAGATGGTGCTAATACTGATATATCTTGTATTACAAAGCCAGCTGTGCCCCCCACCCCCCTGCAGCGGGGGAGTCAGTCCGCAGTGGCCTCTCTGTAAGCCATAATTCTCTCCTTTTTACAGCCAGAATGGGATGTTAAAATGAAAATAAATAATTTAATATGATTAATACTTCCTGTTTTCATATATTTCCCAGTCGCTTCCTTCAAGATGTAGTATAGAAACTCTGGTATCCAATGTAAAATCATAGCCCGCCATTTCCTCACGTTATCCCACAGCATTTTATGGGCCTTTCCACTTTGGAATCATAGTTCATTGATCCAAAATGGAGTCATGTTTGCCCCCCTGGTTGGACACATTTGCCCCCTGGTCGGACACGTTTGCCCCCTGGTCGGACACGTTTGCCCCCTGGTCGGACACGTTTGCCCCACCTGGTCAGATAACGCCAGATAACGCGGGGGTTACTATAACTCCAGATAACGCAGGGTTACTATAACGCCAGATAACGCGGGGGTTACTATAACTCCAGATAGCGGGGGTTACTCTAACCCAGATAGCGGGGTTACTCTAACTCCAGATAGCGCGGGGGTTACTATAACCCAGATGACGCGGGGGTTACTATAACTCCAGATGAACGATAACGGGATAACTTACTCTAACTCCAGATAACGCGGGGGTTACTATAACGCCAGATAACGCGGGGGTTACTATAACTCCAGATAACGCAGGGGTTACTATAACTCCAGATAATGCGGGGGTTACTATAACTCCAGATAACGCAGGGGTTACTATAACTCCAGATAATGCAGGGGTTACTATAACGCCAGATAACGCGGGGTTACTATAACGCCAGATAACGCAGGGGTTACTATAACTCCAGATAACGCAGGGGTTACTATAACGCCAGATAACGCGGGGTTACTATAACGCCAGATAACGCAGGGGTTACTATAACTCCAGATAACGCGGGGGTTACTATAACGCCAGATAACGCGGGGGTTACTATAACGCCAGATAACGCGGGGGTTACTCTAACTCCAGATAACACGGGGGTTACTATAACTCCAGATAACGCGGGGGTTACTATAACGCCAGATAACGCAGGGGTTACTATAACGCCAGATAACGTGGGGGTTACTCTAACTCCAGATAACGCGGAGGTTACTATAACTCCAGCTAGCGCAGGGTTACTATAACTCCAGATAGCGCGGGGGTTACTATAACGCCAGATAGCGCGGGGGTTACTATAACGCCAGATAACGCGGGGGTTACTCTAACTCCAGATAATGCGGAGGTTACTATAACGCCAGATAACGCGGGGGTTACTCTAACTCCAGATAGTACAGGGTTACTATAACTCCAGATAACGCGGGGGTTACTATAACGCCAGATAACGCAGGGGTTACTATAACGCCAGATAACGCGGGGGTTACTCTAACTCCAGATAACGTGGGGGTTACTATAACTCCAGATAGCGCGGGGGTTACTATAACTCCAGATAACGCAGGGGTTACTATAACGCCAGATAATGCAGGGATTACTATAATTCCAGATAACGTGGGGGTTACTATAACGCCAGATAACGCGGGGGTTACTCTAACTCCAGATAACGTGGGGGTTACTATAACTCCAGATAACGCGGGGGTTACTATAACGCCAGATAACGCGGGGGTTACTATAACGCCAGATAATGCAGGGATTACTATAATTCCAGATAACGTGGGGGTTACTATAACGCCAGATAACGCGGGGGTTACTATAACGCCAGATAACGCGGGGGTTACTATAACTCCAGAAAGCGCGGGGGTTACTATAACTCCAGATAGCGCGGGGGTTACTATAACGCCAGATAACGCGGGGTTACTATAACTCCAGATAGCGCGGGGGATACTATAACTCCAGATAGCGCGGGGTTACTATAATGCCAGATAGCGCGGGGGTTACTATAACGCCAGATAGCGCGGGGGTTACTATAACGCCAG